TAAGAGTAGAGTTCCATTTGCTTTGATTCACTCGGATGTGTGGGGGCCATCCCCGGTAACTACAGTGTCTAGATTTCGTTGGTTTGTAATCTTTGTTGATGACTGCACTCGCATGACATGGTTATATCTACTGAAACATAAAGATGAAGTGTTGACTGTATTTCAATCTTTCCATATGATGGTAAAGACTCAGTTCACATCACAGATCCAGGTACTCAGGTATGATAATGGCGGGGAATACATGAATCAACGGTTCCAAGATTATTTCCGAATTCATGGGTTACTTCATGAGACTTCATGCCCACAAACTCCACAGCAAAATGGCATTGCTGAGAGGAAGAACCAGCACATACTCAAAACTGCCCGCGCTATGTTACTTGGAGCACATGTATCGAACCGACATTGGGCTAATGCTGTTGCTACCATCGTGCACCTCCTTAACCGAATGCCATCACGAGTCTTATAGTTTAAAACACCATTACAAGTTCTTTCATCACGTCTCCTTGCCATCCGTTTTGATGATTCCACCTCGAGTTTTTGGCTATGTAGCATCCGTGCATCTACACAAAAATCAACGCACAAAACTGGATCCACGAGCAGCTAGATGCTTATTTTTGGGGTATACGCTACACCAGAAGGGGTACCGATGCTATGACTCAGTCACCCACCGCACCTATGTTACCATGGATGTTACCTTTCGAGAATTAGAAACATTCTACTCTCCTTCCAAAACCAATTCTTCTCTTTAGGGGGAGAATCAGAGTGAAGAACAAAACTGGTTTTTTCCCGACTAGCTGAATACGAGTGCTTCAACAGAGATGGTGGTCAATGAAGCAACCGGGGCACCAGAGACATCTATAGAGACCCCAATGTCTACATCACCTCTCCCAGCAGAAGACATAGAGACCCCAACCTCCCCAGTACCGGAAGGCCCATCTCTTGAGGATATCCCAGAAGCCATCCCTGAGGTAATCTCTCCTACCACACCTTCAAGCCCTAATGATATGAATACTTCGACTGGTTACACTTTACCTTTCAGGCATAATCGTGGCAAACCGCCTAATAGATATTCTCCAGATGTCGAGGATCGGAGGTCAAAGTATCCAATTGCCAATTATGTATCAACAAGGAGACTCTCCAAACCTCTAAAAACATTTGTGCAAGAATTGTCCTCAAATCATATCCCCGCCAGTATTCAAGAAGCGTTGACAAGCCCGAAATGGACTCAGGCCATACAAGAAGAGATGGAGGCACTATTTAAGAACAAAACATGGACTCTGGTTACCTTGCCTAAAGGGAAAAGACCTGTAGGGTGTAAGTGGGTATTTTCCGTTAAATACAAGGCGGACGGGACAATCGAGAGATACAAAGCAAGGCTGGTCACAAAAGGTTATACCCAGACACATGGCATAGATTATCAAGAGACCTTCTCACCAGTGGCCAAGTTGAATATGGTCAGAGTTTTATTATCTCTTGCAGCAAACCTTGATTGGCCACTGCACCAGTTCGATGTAAAAAATGCCTTCCTCCATGGTGATCTTGAAGAGGAGGTATACATGGACATCCCACCTAGTTATACAGCAAATTCCAAGAACCAAGTTGTGTATAAGCTACAGCGAGCACTATATGGACTGAAACAATCACCGCGGGTATGGTTTGGGCGGTTTAGTCTTGCGATGAGGAAATATGGCTTCCAACAAAGCAATTCAGACCATACACTATTTTTGAAGCACCAACGAGGGAGGGTGATAGCTCTAATCATATACGTGGATGATATGATTATCACAGGGAATGATTCAGGAGAAATAGCAACACTACAAAAGCAATTGGCAACTGAGTTTGAAATGAAGAACTTAGGCGGGCTCAAGTATTTTCTAGGAATTGAAGTTGCTAGATCAAGGGAAGGTATATTTTTGTCTCAACAGAAATACACATTGAAGCGAGACTGTTAGAGTGCAAGCCGGCAGACACACCAATTGTTCAAAACCATAAACTTGGAGAATACCCAAACCAAGTACCTACCAATAAGGAGAGATATCAAAGGCTGGTTGGTAAACTTATTTACCTCTCACACACTCGTCCAGACATTGCCTACGCTGTCAGCGTAGTAATTCAGTTCATGCATTGCCCAAGCGAAAATCACATGGATGTTGTAATGCGAATTCTGCGATACTTGAAGTCCTCTCCTGGAAAAGGACTTATGTTCTAAAAAAATAATCATCTAAAGATAGAAGACTATACAGATGCAGATTGGGCCGGAAATATCTCAAATAGAAAATCCACCTTGGGGTACTTTACATTTGTCGGTGGAAACCTGGTCACGTGGAGGAGTAAAAAGCAAAAGGTGGTGGTCCTATCAAGTGCTAAAGCTGAGTTTCGAGGAATGGCTAAAGGGCTTTGTGAGCTACTCTGGCTTAAAAGCTTGATGACTGAAATTGGTTTCCCCCCAACCTTTGAGGTAGACCTATTCTGTGATAACAAGGCTGCCATAGACATTTCTCATAATCCCGTCCAACATGATCAAACAAAGCATGTGGAAGTGGACTGGCATTTTGTCAAACAAAATATCAAAGACAAAATCATTCAATTTCCCTTTGTCAAGTCTGAAGACCAGCTGATAGATATACTTACAAAAGCTGTATCCAATAAAAACTTCTACAACTCACTTGGCAAATTGGGCATCCAAGATTTGTACGCGCCAACGTGAGGGGGAGTATTGGTGAGCTGTAAACGAGGAGAGTATCCCTTAATTCTGGGATAACTCTTATCATAATAATTTGTATGTAACTAGGAAAGGAAGAACAAGACAGTTGGTGTAACTAGGAGAGGTGTGTATATAACTCATTCGTTGCAAAGGAAAAAAAATAAGAAAGAAGAAGAGATTTTCTCCTTCTACTCGAGTTATCAATAGGGCTTTTAGAGGCACTCACTTGACCACCTCCTATTTCTTTTAAGGCATTTTGGAAGTTTCTATAGATAAATTTTTCATTAGTGTCATCAACGAGCTCTATGTAGTATATGGCGTCCTATAGGAGTGTCTCTGATTTGTCAAATGAGATGCAAGTGGTTGGAATTCTAATGGTGCAGCCCTTGTGCTTGGCCTTTATGCACTAGTGGTAGGTGGACTGGACTAACGCCAAGCTGTGTATATCCCTTGGTTTAATCTGGGATTAAATTAATTAGAAAAAAATCCATCGTCTTCAACCTTGAAGCAGTGAAATTAAACTTTATTTTCGTATACATGATCACTTCATCCACATGCTGTAAACAAAGCTCTTGTAGCATCATACAGGTGTATTTTCTTCTCCATGAAAACAAATAGTCAAATACTATTTGTATGATAAATTCCTGTTATCTTTTGTAGTTGCAGTAGGGGGTTATATTTGGTGAAAAGCAGGTTGAAACTTTGCGCCAAAAGTGAAACAAGGATATGAAAGAGTTCACAATATCTATAGGCGTCTGAGGATGGCTAAGGATGTCTATTAAAAGGAGAGGGCCGGAGGTAAACATGGCACGGTTCTGGCTTTCCAGGTTTGCTCAGGTGCTCATTTCAATGTAATTTGTGTACCCCAACAAGGTTGAGGGATTGGTTTGATTCATTCAAATCAATAAACAAATGAAAAATCACACACACACAGCTCATGTACAACCACAATTTGTTCTCTTAGAAAATTTGAAGAACAATGATGGATGTAAAAGTCTCTTATCCATCTCATCAATGTGATATTAAGGGAAAACTGAGATTTAAAAAATACTTAAAGCCACATGCTGACAAATGTGGATGGAGAGTTGATGAATGGGAGGTTTTTGTCCACTTATATTACCCCAAGAGGGGAGGGTTTAAGTCCAGTTTGAAAAGTTAGGAGATGTTTTAATATTTAATGAAAGTTTTAAATCTGTCACATTATCAATAGAAAGGAGATTAGGAGTGAAAACCTGATACCCAATATGAAAGTGCCAATCAGCTGATTGGTAAGATCTACTACTAGTCCTAGTGGTGACTTGGGATCAATCCTGCCTATATGACACTACATAATTAGTCTAAGCTTTTGCATTTTGAATGAACTGCTGTAGAGAAATAGCAATGGTTTAGCATCAGTGTTCCGAATAAGTTACTTAGAGTAATTTTAGGGTTCGACTATGTTATGAAAAAATATGATATCCGAAAAACATCTGTCAATCAATTGAAATCATAAACTTAGTTGCGAATCAAGTGTTATTTATCAAAATTTATGGGTGAGTTTTGATTGATCAAAACTCTTTCTATACCTTATCTTTTGCATATCATAGGATTTTCCTAAATTCAACACTCATGAAAATAGCGTTTGGAAAGCGCATGTCCCACATTTTAGATTTTCACCAAACTACACTTCTCAAAATGTGAGGCTCACCTCAAAATGAGAGAAGTAGGATTGATCATCAAAAACTAAATCAAACCAATGAAATCAAATAAATTAAAAAAAAAAACCTAGTTAGTCAAATCAATTGTTTTGATTTTGGTTAACCAATATGAAAATGTGGTAGTTAATCGAATTGACTGGTATATGTATTTTATATATTTTCATGCATATTATATTATATATGTTTTTATAAATATTATGTATTAAATATAAATATATATGAATTATAATATATTTGTAATATATAATACATTACATGCATTTATAGTATTTATATTTATATTATATAATTATATATTTATTTATAATATATATTATAAATTAAAAAACTGAAAAATTGAAGAACCGAACATGTTAAAAACCAAAAGATCAATTGGTTTCAATTCGGTAGTGATTTTCGATTTTTCAAAAATGGTTCGGTTCCAAAAATAAGTGCCAAGATTTTGGTTAATCGAACAGTGAGCACCCCTACGGCTCGGCCATCATCATCTAATGTATAAAGTTTATAAAAGATTCCAATCCAGCCATCTACGCCCCGTCACGTGGCCTGTAGTTTCCTTTATAGTCGTGCAACCACTCTCTGCCTGAACTAACAACCTCATGCAAAAGATTTGCGTGAAAAGATGGCTGGGAATTTGTATCACCACCCACCCTTCAAGACTTTTCTCTCCGGTTGCTGTGCCATTTTCCGGCGTCCCATCAACCCATGTGTCACTTTCCGACGACTGCACCCACTCAAACTTTGGCGGGAAAGTGAGTTCCGACCACCCGATTCTACCCCTTCTGGAAACTGCACACAAGGAAGGATTGGACGTTAGGACACTCCATGCCTACGTCATAACATCGGGTCTCATTAGAGACACCTTTGCAGCGAGTCGGGTCGTTGAGTGGTGCTTTAAATCGTGCCGAGATGACCCTCATTACGTCCGAGTCATCTTCGACTCGTTGCATAGACCCGATGTCTACACATGGAATGCCATGATCAGGGGCCACGCCGAGTGCGGCTCGCCGGAGACGGCCATTTCCTACTATTTTCGAATGCTCTCTAGACGGGTCCCGCCCAATAATTACACTTTTGCACTTGTAGTAAAGGCTTGCATTCTCTGTAGGGAGGAGGATCCATGGCCTGTTGGGAGGAAGATCCATGGCCAGGTGTTGAAACACGGGATAGAAAACTTGCTTGTGGTGAGGAATTCGCTTATAAACATGTACTGCAACATGGGTTGCTTAGTGGGTGCTCGATTGTTGTTCGATGAGAGCTTGGTTTTGGATTTAATATCTTGGAACACTATGATCTCTTCTTATGGGAAACATGGGGACGTTGAAGCTGCAAGGGAGCTGTTCGAGAAAATGCCAGAGAGAAGCTTGGTTTCGTGGAGTGCATTAATAGATGGGTATGTCAGAAGTGGTGGCTCTACGGAGGCATTGAGACTTTTCAATGAGATGCAAGCAGTGGGGATCAAACCTGATGTAGTTACAGTAGTTAGTGTTCTGAAGGCTTGTGCTGACTTGGGTGCACTTGATCAAGGGAGATGGATTCATCTTTATATCGATAAAAATAATCTATTGAGAGAGAGGAATGTAGTCCTAGTGACAGCTCTTGTAGATATGTATGCAAAGTGTGGGTGCATAGATGTTGCTTCAGAATTGTTTGATGGGAGCCATGATAAGGATGTCATACTGTGGAATGCCATGATGGGAGGGCTTGCCATGCATGGTCATGGAGGGGAGGCATTGCAGATATTCTCAAGAATGCAGAGACATGGGATAATGCCGAATGAGACCACATTCCTGACTGTTCTTTCTGCTTGTGCTCATACTGGCATGGTGGCTAAAGGAATTGAGATGTTCCAGTCCATGAAGGAATACGGCATTGAGCCTAAAATTGAGCACTATGGGTGTCTGGCAGACCTCTTGGGTCGAGCCGGGCTAGTGCGGGAGGCTGAGGAGGTGCTTCGCAACATGCCAATGGAGCCACAGGCTTCACACTGGGGCGCTCTGATGGCTGCATGTAAAACGCACAACAATGTTGAGGTGGGAGAGCATGTGGGAAAGAGACTAATATCACTAGAGCCACTTGATGGGGGCAGATATGTTATGTTATCGAACATATATGCATCTACTGGCCGATGGGAGGATGCTCGGGAGACAAGAAGAGATATGGAAGAAAGAGGGGCCAAGAAAGAAACAGGCTGCAGCTTTCTAGAATGGAATGGGGTGATTCATGAGTTTGTTGTGGGGGACACTAGTCATCCTCTAAGCAAAGAGATCTATATAATGTTGGGAAATCTACAAAAGGAGATGAAGATGGTTGGAGTTGTACAATATGCACTAGATGGCTTCAATGAGGCATGATGAATCCACTCAAAATTCTTTCAACTTCCAACACTAAGCATTACCAAACCCATATATGGGCAGGTTGGCATTGCTTGAAGAGATCATCCTTTTATTCTTCACCGACCCAGCAATGACTGTTAAGACTTAAGAGCCCATTTGGGAGGGCTAAAACTTTGATCGAGCTGCTTTCACTGAGATCTTTGGAGAAGCCACTAAAAGAAGTTCCGATGGAACTCTGCCCATTTCGGGCTTTCTGGGGTTTTGACCACAAATAGCTTATGGGCTGTCTGGGTGAGGTCCACTACATGAGGCCAGAAGCTTCCATCTAAAAGCCCTACCAGATGGGCACTATGACAAGCATCTCCAAACATGCAGATCGCATCAAGGAATTAGGAAATCTCCTTGAATAGATTTCCAGCAGATTGAGTAGGTGGTTCCACAGGGATCAACCAATATATGAGAGCTTCCTCGTTTTCAAGGAAAGAAGGAAACTCCTTTGTAGTGAGGAAGAACTTGCAGCAGCCTGCATGACTTCCACAAACCAATATATAGGAGGTCCCAATCACTTTTATTCATACAACCATCCCTTCTTCAATTAGTTACTTCCTTCTCCAACAAACATTTGCAGGTTACATGTCTTCTGGCTACAGTTAGCAGTTAGAACATCAAATTTAACATGCATAGATCATGATAAAATCTAAGCTTTGCTTGTATTCAATTGTTCCATACTTGTACTGCTCGAGCTTCTCAATTATGAGGCTTGCTTAGAAAGGGAATTCTTCACATTCGTAGGATCAATTTGACCTTGGAACATTAGTAGGGTAAGTGCAATTTGTCTTAGTTGGTCAAGTAGCCATTTACAGGGGTCAAAATATCACAACACAGCGTGTGCATATCAACCAATACGTATCAGTTTATGAACTCACTGATATACCAAATATTAAGAAGTTAGGAGGAAAGCCTATTTTCAGTCATTAGCACCCTTCCTAAGCCATCTCTGGTTAAAATCTTAAAACCTGAAACCAAATTAATTGGACCATGGTCCATGAAGTTTATGCCGGCAAGCAAACTTACACCTACAGAGGTCCTTAACTCCTAGGTTGATCGTTGCTTGGCAAATGAGCTGGTAGTCTGGTACAAAGTCCTACTTACACCTACAGAGGTCCTTAACTCCTAGGTTGATCGTTGCTTGGCAAATGAGCTGGTAGTCTGGTACAAAGTCCTACTTACACCTACAGAGGTCCTTAACTCCTAGGTTGATCGTTGCTTGGCAAATGAGCTGGTAGTCTGGTACAAAGTCCTGAAGTCAATATTGCAAGGCAATTTTGCAAAACTAAAAAAGGACTGGATCGAGACTATTTGTGCTAAGATTGGCATAACCTGGAATTAGTTCCCCTCAAGACGATTCCTAATTCAAATTGCTGTAAAATACAAACTTTTATTTGGTAACCAATAATATACAAAATTCTATTTGGTGAGTAATAAACATACAAGCTTCAAGTATACATTATACATGATTACATGTTGACAACCTCAGTCTTCATTCAGTCTAGAGCTCATCTCATGCAGTTACAATGTTCTTAATTTGGTATAAAGAATTTAATCTCCTTTTCTCTTTTCCTTTGTTTATATATTTTCTTTTTTTACCCTTCTGTTAACTTTTATATGTTTTGTCAGTTCCATAGAGGAAAGGTAGATGTGACTGCAGAACCTTTCCCCATCATCCCGACCCCACACAGTCTGCCCCACCCTTCAACCCTATTTTCATGCTGTAGTGAAGCCTTTTTTCCAAGGTATCCTTACAACTGATTGGATACTGGATACACTCTTTCACCCACTTGAAGCAAAGACGTTGAATCCTCAATGCTTCCTACCATCTCACTTTTCTCGTACCTCAGCAGGATCCCAAAAGTAATCTTTCCCTAATTCCAGACAAGAATTCTGATAAATTGACCGACTTTACACAAACATGGATGATAAAGAAGAGCGCAATGCCAGAGAGAAAATCTCTAATTTAAAATCATAAAATAGTTCAGTGCTACGACCATGCAAAAATATTGACTGACCTTCAATCTCCTGAATGATGCTAAAGTTGCCAACGGTTCTTTTGACCTTTGGGCTTTTCCAGTATGATGATCAATATTGATCATTTGGCATCGATTGCACCCACCTAGGGACTGATAGGAAAGTAGTCACAGTTTAATTAGATATGCAATGCCATAAAACACTGTTTTAAAAGTGCAAGGTGCAAAAAAAATACAAGGGACTTTTTGCACCCGAGGCACAAACATTTTTGTAGGAAGGTGCAAAATTTAAAAAAAGAAAATAAAAAAATTTAAAACAAAATTAAAAATAATAATTCAAAAAAGAAATTTAAATTTTACTTTAAAAGAAACAAAATGTATGAAAAGTCCTATTGTCTCAAGTTGAAATACATAGACATAACATGTAAAACGAAGTCAAAGTGAAAATGTAGAAAATAGAATCAAACATAACATATAACACATATCTAAGCACTCAACAATTCAAGCATGCAAAACTTTTAATTTGTTTATTTTTCTCCATATTGCATTACTATAGGTAAATAATGTGATGCTAAACATCTTGCATTTATATTTCTCTGAGATCGGCCATTGACCTCCATACAAAATCCCTTGAGACAAGCCTAGATAAATTCATTTGAGGGTCCTAAATTTTTGGCCTGTGTATACAGGTGGCTGGTTTTGTGAATTCAGTTGCATTTTCATTATGTTTTAGGATTAGTAATTAAAATGTAGTTTGATAAAATGTCTTTTAGATGAGAACAATACTAGCAATAAAGGGGTTTTGTTCTCTGCTCTAACCAGCAAGTGAAGCGAGTGAGCTGGTGCTTTCACAAAACCCCCTTTTTGCTAGTTTTGCTCTCTCATCCTTCTTAATAGAAGACATTATCATCTATTAGCAGTAAAAAATAATAGAAATATGGAAGAAGAAAGGAGAGAGAGAAGAGAGAAGGGAGAAGAGAAAAGGTTGAGAGGTGAAATCAGTTCTGGTGGTGCCAAATTCTAGTAGTATATATAGGGCACTTACAGTACAAAAACTAGTTATTCTAAGTATAGAAACTAGCTATTCTAACACTCCCCCTCAGGTTGGGACATAGATGTCAATCATGCCCAACTTGTCACACAAATTATTGTGCTGCAAGTGATGGATGCCCTTGGTGAAGATATCTACAAGTTGTTCTTTGAGCTGACATAGGGAGTGCATACTTCTTCACTCGCATGTTTTTTCCTAATAAAATGCTTGTCCACTTAAATATGTTTTGTTCTGTCATGGAGGATTGGGTTGGCTACAATGTTAATAGCAGTTTTGTTCTCACAATAGAGTGACATAGGACCGTTAACTACAAAGCTTGGTTCACCTAATAGGTTCTTTACCCATAGGTTCTTTATCCATATGATTTCAGCAACTCCATGACACATAGCTCTGTATTCTACTTCTCCCGGTGACCAAGTTTCTTCCCACAAAAGTACAATATGCAATGGTAGATTTTTGGTCATCAACTACCCCTGCCCAATCAACATTTGTGTACACTTCAACTTTCAAATGCCCATGCCTTTGGAATAACAAACCAGCCCTTGGGAACTTATTGAGGTATCTAAGAATCATTTCTATAGCTTCAAAGTGGGTAGTCTTGGGGTTATGCATGAACTGATTGAGGACACCCACAACATAAGCAGTGCTAGGTCTGGTCATGGATAGATAAAAGAGTTTCCCTACAAGTCTATAGAACTTCTTCAATGGGCGAATCAATTGGCTTCACTCCTAACTTGCTTATGTGCTCTAATAGATCTAGGACGTATTTCCTTTGAGAAATAAAGATGCCCTTTTAAGAGCAAGAAACTTCAATTCCAAGGAAAGAATGTAAGGGACCTAGATCTTTCACCTTGAACTGAGTGGTTAAGAATTTCAACTTTTGTAATTTTAGCTTTCCAATCTCCTATGACCACCATCAACATACACTATTAGAGCTACAACTTTTCCTTCACCTTTCTTTACAAAAAATGTATGAGCTGACTGACATTGTTTACACCCCATCTATTGTACAACCAAGTGAAAGTTACTAAACCAGTCCCAAGGGGACTACTTCAATCCATATAACGATTCTTTTAACATGCACACCTTCTGCTCATTACCTTTAGCACAAAAACCTAGATGCTGAGTTATGTAGACCTCCTCCTCTAGATCACCATTCAAGAATGCATTTTTTATGTCTAGTTGATGAATTTCCCAATCAAAATTAGCTGCCAATGAAAGGAGAATTTGAATAGAATTCATCTTCACTACTAGGGCAAAGGTCTTTGCATAATCCACTCCATACACCTATGTAAACTCTTTTGCAACTAGTCTGGCTTTGTACCTTTCTACTGTACCATTAGCCCTATTTTATTATAGGTAAAAGAAATTATTAAAATAAAAGAAAATACAAGCAGAGGGTGACGAGTCATCACCCTTTACAATCAAGAATACAGAGCTCAAACTCAATACACATTTCCAAAATTACAGATCTGAAATTCCAGCACTTCCCCTAAATTTTCCCCCGAGTCCCTTCTATCAATATGTCTGAATTCTGGATGAACCATAACCCATTCAACAACCGACTTGCTGACAGCAGCCACAGTCCTATCCATATTATAGAGTTCGGCTTCAAAGATTCTTCTATTCCTCTCCTTCCACATGTTCCAACATATTGCAAAGAGTATGCAGCTCGAAAAGATTTCTGAGGCAGAATTTGGCATAAAGTCAGGTGCCCCAAACATCTTGGCGAATAGTCTCCATAGGTAATCAGAATACTTGCATCTGATAAACAAATGTGTGACATTCTCTTCTTGTTCCTCACACAGATAACACCCATTCTCCATGCTGAAGTGATGTATGACAAGCTCAGTTCTAGTCCTTAGAGAAGGTTGAATGATCTTCTTGATCAGAGTTTTATGGCTGTTGATGGCTGTAGTGGCTTCATGAAGGAATGAAAAAGAAAATAGGGAGAGAAAGAAGAGAGAAAATACCTAGAATCACTCACAGGGTGTCTAGAATCACTCTAGGGCATGGGAATCACCCACCATACATAAGCTGAAGAAAACTCAATATAATTCATTGCCTTTGTGTAAAACGTCCATACATATTTATAGACTCTAAACTCATAATAATCCTAGAAGTCAAATTGTTAGACTCATAATAGTCTTAGGAGTCAAACTGTTAGACTCAATAATCCTAGTATGACTCAAACTAAGCTGTCATATCCTATTTCAATTCAAAGAAGACTCAATAACTCTAATCCTACTTATGCAATGACTGAAATTTTAAACATAAACAAACTTTAACTATCATTGGATCCCATAGAAAATTGCAAATTGGCAAAAGTACCCCTACTGTCCAAAAATACAAAAATACATAAAAATTCATAAAATTCCAATTTTGACTCTTCGACTCCTGCATCATTCTCCCCTGGTTCAAAAAAACTCGATCTTGAGTTTTAAAGAACTTGAGGATGAAAAGTTGGTATGCCCCAATGACAAATGTAGAACTTCCCACAGCTACATGCTTGGACTGTAGAGTAGAGGCCACACACAAAACTGGAAAAGGATCTTGAAAGAAATGCATTTCTGAAACACTGCGTTCCATAACCATCTTTGTTAAATTATCAATTACATTGGCTTCATGACCACTTAAATCATCAACTTGCCATTGTGATGAATCTTCCCCTCACTTATCCGAAATCTCAACTACAACATTTGGAACTTTTCCTTCAATCTCTAGCTTAGGAATCACCATCTCTATGTGTTCTGCTAACCTTGGTTTTTCAACAAACTCTAGGACTTCTTCCATTATGGGCTGTCGATGGAACTTGTGCCATGTCAGGTCGTAAAGTAACTTACTTCCTTAATAGGATCTACTACAATCAGCATATTTGTATCTTGCACCTGAATTTCTTTAACTTTCTCCACTTCTATTTCTTCTTGATCATTAACTTCAAGTTTATCATGGGTGTTGGAAATTCTAGCAATTTCTATTTTTTCTTGGCCTGCACCATCTTGAGTTTTAATATCTACAACTTCTATAGCTTGAAATTCTTCTTCTTTAGTTTCATCTTCAACTTCAGCTCTAGGATAAACATCAACATTCAAGGAATCATCTACTTACTTTTCAACATTGTACCTTCTTCCCCTTGATTCAAGTTCTTTGTTGTAACCTGTTGCTTCTTCTTTTGCTCAAAATTAGTCGGCTCCATTTATAGATCATCATGGAAGTCTACTGAGATGTACTTTTCTTGCAAACACCTCTTCATCTCTGCCCATGTACTAATTGAATCATCGCCTCTATTTTCTAGTCGTTGCTCAAGAACCATACTTTAGCATGACCTGTCAGCTTCATGCACGCAAATCTAATCATTTGTTTGTCAAGAATATCATGCCAATCAAAATATTCTTCTAGTTCAGCAACCCAATCAAAGAATGCTTGTGGATCATCATCTCCTTTGAAATCTGGTGTTTCCTTTCTCTTCTAACATGTTTGAAAACCTTGATCCCGTAGCCAGCATTATTAGATCTGTTTTCTTCCACCATCTTCTCAAATAAGTCAACCAAAGATCCTTCATATGGCTTAAAAACCCAATCATCATTGATTCTCGATCTGTAAGATTGTCTAGAAGATACCCTGGGCCTATAGAATCGATCACTTTGTGCGAACATAGTGAATAAAACATTAGCTTTGCTACCAAACTAATATAGGACTAGCTCAGTTCTAGTCCTTAGAGAATGTTGAATGATCTTATTGATCAGAGTTTTATGGTTGTTGATGGATGTAATAGCTTCTTGAAGGAATAAAAGAGAAAATAGGTAGAGAAAGAAGAGAGAAAATACCTGGAATCACTCATAGGGTGCCTAGAATCACTCTAGGGCATGGGAATCACTCACCATAGCTAGCATAAGCTGAAGAAAACTCAATATGATTCATTGCCTTTGTGTAAAACGTCCATACATATTTATAGACTCTAAACTCATAATAATCCATTAATCCTAGGAGTCAAACTGTTAGACACATAATAGTCTTAGGAGTCAAACTATAAGACTCGACAATCCTAGTAGGACTCAAACTAAGCTGTCATATCCTATTTCAATTCAAAGAAGACTCAATA